TACATTTAATCCTAACTTGCCCGACGTAGGCAACATAATCAGAAAGCATTTGTTTATTTTGCAATCTAACCCCAAATTGAAAGAACTTTTTCCTCGAAGTTCTATCATACCATCTTTTCGTCGATCGAAAAATCTCAAAGAATTGTTAGCACCATCTCGTTTTAAAACTGCCAGCGAGAGACAAACCATTCCTCATAACAATGGCTGCTTTAAATGCGATAGGAAAAGATGCGACCTCTGTCAGAATTTCTTTGTTGAATCTAAATCATTTCTCAGCTTTCAGACGGGCAAAAATTACACCATTCACTCTAGACTTTCCTGTGACTCTAAAAATGTGATTTACTTGGCTTCCTGTAAGAAATGTCGCCTGCAATACGTGGGATCTACTACCACCGACTTTAAAGTGAGATTTCGAAATCACAAATCTACTATGCTCACAAACAAAACAACTTGTGAAGTAGCGATACACTTCAACAAAACCCCACACACCCTGGACGATTTTTCGTTCCAATGCATTGATCAGGTACAGGCCCCTAGTGGCTCTGCAGAGATCGATAGGCTTTTAATCACAAAAGAGGCTTATTGGAGTGCTCAGTTGTTCTCTTTGGCACCCCATGGTTTGAATAAAAGAAAGGAATTTCATTCGAAAAATAGAATTTGCTATAATTAATTTTCCATCTTATATTAGGCGCTACTAATTGATCGTTCAAAGGCCCTTTTCTTGGATTTTGTCGGCCCTTTAGGTGTGGATTGGACTCAGAGGCCCTGCCAAGGGATCTTATTATGATTAGTATCATTTAAGGGCCCCTCCAGGGATTTTGTTGCTAATTTGCCCTTTCGGGCTCCAAAGGCCTTGTTTTGGGATTTTGTTACGGTTTACAGTTGTAGTAAAAAGTGGGCCTTCCCTTTTTTAATGCTCGCCGCATTGCTTCTTTGCAATTGATTACGCCACTCATATTAACATATTTAGTATTCTTATCTCTTAGTTTTTAGGGTTTGTTTCTTGTACTTTGTCCATTGCTTTCTTTGTAATTAGGTTTTTTGTTTATTAGCACCAGTTCATTAGTCGTTATTTGTAATTACGTAATCATTAGCACTTCGATCCTATTTAATGCTCCTTTTTTATTTCAAAAGTTGTAAATAACTGAAGAAGGTCTCTGAACGAAATGTTTTTTATTAAATTTTTTTAATATTTTTTACGTCAGAAGCTGTCCATCCTCGCAATTTGTTGGCTGTGAGGTTTGGACTGCGAATCTTTATTGATCCTCCTGGCGCGGTGCACCTTTGTTGGCCTGAAAGCTTTATTAACGACTAGCGATGTATATATTTATTAAAAACTGGATCATTGGATAATGCAATTCAAGAATATTTATTGGCTTAGCCATTATGGTATAGGAGCCCATATATCATGATCTGAGATCTGTACATTGTAACATCCCGTTTCTTCCTACAAAACAAAGTCGAGAAGATTTGCCTAATATCTTGGGAGCCTTTTTTTTTTTTTAATAAAACAACTATTTCACTCGCGCTTGTTGGATATGAGATGATTATAGCCAACGAGGCGCGTAGCGCCTCGTTGGCTATCTATCATCTCATATCCAACGCGCGCTTGTGGAATAATTGTTAAATATATATAGGAGTGTGAACGGTTTAGGCTAAACAACGATGATTCCACCGAGAAAAAGATCCAAAGGATCCTAATTATCGAACAGTTACGTAACTCTAATGCTAGTAACAATAGCATGGATGATCGTCTGCTCACTAGCGTAGTGTTAAGGTGTGCCCAACTATGTACCATCAAACCACATGGTCTCAACAAAAGGTGTGAGTTCAATTCCAGGAAAATAGTTCGGTATAATTGGCACCACCTCATTACCGGATTTCATTATTTTATTGTTACATTTTAGCGTGTTATTTTAATTTCTATTATCCTTATCGTTATATTACTCTTATGGGATTTGATGTAAAACATTTCTAATTCCCCGTATTTAAGACTCTTGCATTACTTGTGAATTTTACTTCATATTGATATTTAGTGCTGAGGAAGCCCGAATGGCCGAAACGTACACGTATTGAGGGCCACAAGAGAAAAGTTTGCTTCTTCTTCTGTTTATTCCACTTATATATATATATATATTTTTCCTATTCAATTGATAATATATATACCGCCACCGCCACTACCATTGATAACAACAAGACATGCAACTGCCGACAAAAGAACACATGCCCGCTCGACGGAAACTGCCTGCAACCATCAGTAATCTACCAAGCCTCCGTTACACGCAAAGACAACAACACGACAGAAACGTACATCGGACTCACAGAGAATGACTTCAAAACAAGATACAGAAACCACACCGCATCATTCCGCCACGCTAAACACAGAAACTCTACCGAACTCAGCAAGCACATCTGGACCCTCAAAGACAACAACATCGATCACTTTATTTCCTGGCGCATTCTCTCATCGCACTCACCGTATAACAGCTCAACTAAAAGATGTAACCTCTGCCTCAAAGAAAAATTCCTAATCATCTGCCGGCCCGAACTATCAACACTAAACAAACGTAATGAACTCGTGTCTTCATGCCGCCACAGAAGCAAAGCCCTCCTACGCAACAACTAAACTGTCAATTTCGCGCTGCATAAATTAGACTAGTTAGATCATGCAAATTATATTGTATATAAGCAATGGTAAAGTTTATTCTCATTAAATCCCCTGATGAGTGGGCGACCACGAAACAGGCTTGTAGGGATGAACTTGTAGTTTACTTGTCTTTTTCCTCCCACAATATATACTTCGCTCTACTTCTATGTATTGAGCACCGTTCTACTAAAATCAAGTCACACTTTATAGATATATATATATATACATTTTTTTTTTCTACTTTCCGCTTGTAATTTTGGAGGCAAGCAAAGTTTGATCGACCAAACCTTCCACAGTAGCCCTTACGAGAATATGACCCCTTTTTATTTACTGAAATTGGAAGTTTAGATTTTGTTCTGAATAAAAGCATGATATATCTTCAGAAGCTGAACAAGGTGAAGCTCGTACACTATGGTTATATTTGACGCCTTGACTTCCGTAAATTTATGATGAGGCTTCTGTTAATCAAAAGAGTGAAACAAATTTTGAAGCTCGTTACAGCAAGAATTGCCATTCTCATCACCATTCTTAATTGCATTTGCCTGTTCGAGCCACTCAAATATCCGTTCAAAAATACGCTGCCCTCTTATAACAGGGCTAAGATATTATTATTTATATATCATTATTATCATTGTTATCGTCATTAATATCATTATCATTATCACCAACATCACAATCACATCATAAGTATCGTTATCATTATTTATCTTATTGATTTTTTAATATTTTCAGAAGTGTTGAGACGTAGCCGGTGTTTCTTACCCATTCAAAGCTCGTGAAAGTATTTTTCATCTCCGTTGTCATCAAGAAGCGATTTTCATTCTTGTTGCCATAGCAGACCATAGACAGCAGAAACACAAATACCAAATGGAGGACAATTTCCCTCGCCATGCCTGCCAGTTGAGCCTCTTTTCTGCTTCTCATGCGCATTTTCTCTATGAGGCACTGTTTAAAGCGTTGTCTTGGATTATCATTTAGGAAATCCATGTCATTTTCAAAAGCTTCCTCCTTTTCAACATATTCCTCGTCCCTATGAGTTGGTTTGTTTCTACTCAAAAGGAAGGAAACTAAAACAACTGCTAATATGGCCTTTGTTGGTTGAATAACAAAAACGTCTTGTCCATTGGAAATAAGAATGGATGCCAACCACTGCTCAGCGACTTCCTTATCCCACATAAGACTGTAAAATAACGTAAATGCTGCTGCTGTCATAGTGGTGACAAAGCAGAGAAACCAAGCCATGTATACACAGAAATGTGGCAGCATACAGCCTTGACCATTTATTTCATTGACGAGTTGTTCTGTCAGAAATGATTCTTTATATTTGTCCTCTTTATTTTCCTTCGTTCTACTTGACTTAAACAGAAACACGATAAGAATGTTTACAGGTGCCACTATTATAGTGCTCTGTACTCCAACGACTACTTGTCTCCAGGAAAACTTGAAAGGTCCAATTTGTATGGCTCCCGTCGATTCCCCACCAGTATTATAAAACATGGCATTTGCTATCATTGCACTGAAAAGAATTGAAAGACAACACGATGCTCTTTGCACGCGTGTAAATGTACTACTGCACGCCTTACCGAAGACTGACATCCACAAATGATTGTCAGCTATTTTCCTCCCGAAGCGTGACCTCACCTCGGCTGAAAAGGAAGTAGCTGTTATGTTTTGGACACTAACTTCTATCTGTCCATCGTCTTTTTCTAGTGCAAGCCATCTATTTATAGGAAACTCCCAGCGTTCTTCTGTTTGTCTGTCTCGGATTACCACTGTTTCTACAAACCAAGATGGATTATCGCCTGAGTTATCGTGTTCCAGAGTTATTTGGTTTAGATTTCCTAGCGACTCATTTGTGACCAGAACAAAACCATTTATACTTCCTCGACTAAAAAATCCCTGTAAATCTCCATGTTTTTGAAGAGTAATGAGATCTTGCTCGTCGTTTTCTCCCCTTATGCTCATCGTTACGTTTGCCGTTGTTGCTGAATCTTTCCAAACCCCAGTACTGATAACCATGTCGTAGTAGTAAGTTCCTTCTTCAACAAGTTTTATCAGCGGTGGTGGGCAAATCTGCAAGCATACGTAATTGATCATAACAGAATTAGACTTCTTAATCCGGTGGTATATTATCATAAACTGTGAAATTGTATACTTTATTTGAACAAGTAGCTTGTAAATCAGCCTTTATATGAGTTCAAATCGAGAGATTATACAATCTCTTGGCTCAGATGGACTAATGCTTTAAAGAAACACAAACACAGCCCGTTATTTTAATAAAAGGACAGATGGAGGGAAATCCATAAGAAGGCGGACATTGAAAATCATTTTGCCTTTGGTCGACGGGTACTTAAGGCTGTGTTCACATTTTGTGATCATTTGAGCAAAATTGTGGTATGTGTCAGTTAATAGCTCGTGCCATGTTTAAATACTAACCTTGCTTTCATCTCTTCTGTCTGCTCTCCATGCAAGTATCACTGCTACAAAATAAATGAGGAAAGCACATGCAATTGTCACTAGCACTGAGATGTTGCCCGACTCACTCAGTCGGGCAAATTCTGTGAAAACTTTGTCGAAGTCAATGGGATTGGGCGCTTGAATGAAGTTTCCACCGAAAGACGTCAAATGGTTGCAGAGGCATTTGAGGTGTGTGGAGTTAGATCCTAGGTCCACCTGCCATAGAAATACCTGTCATCAGATTATTAACACAACTTTCGTACTAGTATTTAAGTTACTTTAGTATTTACAAGGTATTGTTATGAGTTGTTCAATATTTTCCAATCGTAAATATTCAAATTTTGCAGAGCTATAGATAATGTGCCATGCAATGTATACAGTCCAGTCTGGTCTGGTTGAATTTACCTTACAACCATGAGATGTCCACTTTTCCTCGTCTTCCGACCAATATAGACAACTTGACTGAGTTATACCTAACGTGTAGTTGACATCAGCATCCGGGTTATATTGAGGTACAATCGTCTGAGAGACCCCTTTTGGAGGCGGATCTTTGACGCCAACGCACGATCGTCTCTGGCGACCGTTACCAAAACACGACCGTCTCTCTCGGGAATGCTTGCTGGAATTTTTCTTTTCTTTTATCAATAAACCGAAATAAATATGACCTGGTTCAGCAGGAAGTATTGTGATGCTTTTCTCTTCTAAATTGCATGATGTTTCGTCGGCCTCGCCATTCGTTGCGTTATTACAGGTTGATGTGAACTTTACCGTAAAATTGAGGTCGGAGTCCTCTACGGTAGGTCTTAATCCGAACCTCACAAACATCTTAACTTCTGTTTTCTTTTCTGCGACACCCAGTCTGATGGAAACGGGTACATCTGCTAGCTCTGCATAATAGCTCCTAATAGTCAATTTGTTTGGCTTTAGAAAATAATGTTCTGTACTGTTGCTGTTATTTGAGGGTGGGGTGGAGATAGGTATAACTATTTCAATGTCCTTGTCGAGGTTTGAAACACTCAGTTTTGTTGTATTTTCCGTTTGAAGCTCGAGGCTTATGACACTGGATTGAACTTTCTTGCTGCTATTGTCCCAGGTAAATGGGTTAAAGTCAGCAGCTTTCATCTGTAAAATGAAAGACGGAGATTAGAGTTTCAACATTTGGATAACACTTGTGAAGACTAAGGTTTAAATTAGTAGGAAATCAAAAATGCCACGAAAAACTGATACAAAATATTTTTAATACCATCATAGGCGCATGAAAATTTTTTATATGTTTGGAGACTTTTTGTGGTAGCTCGAGAACAAGACTTTTTCACATTCTGTATTGCAAAGAAGTTCCAAATGAATAGAGATTCAATTATAATGGATTTCTGCATGGAAGAACAAGTATTCGAATGGAAATTACCTGAAATAAGACACTTTTAGAAGACAAATAAATTAAAGAAAGTTTTTCACCTTCGACTCAGCGAAATGCTAAACACCCTTATTGTTTGCCGAGTAATTGTCATTTAAATCTCTTGTTGGAAATGCTTTTGACATGTACATAATCCTGTCTGGTAAACTCCTTACCTTTGCATTGATGTTTCCATCAGCCATCTTTCCTAAGTTTTCGGGAAGCTTAAACTTTGTTGGCCCATATTCCATACTAAGACCCTTTACGTCATCGGCAGATACCTTCTTAAGGGACGACGTCAAACCAAGTGTTTTAAGGACAAGATTTTCGGAGGGAACTAGGCGAGCGAAAAACGCGTCGTTCACAGCGTCCAGTTTTTGAGCAGCTTGCTTCACATTCTCCTATAATAAAAAAAAAAACAAACAAACAAACAAAAATATTTCTAATAAAATTGTCTACCAAATATTTTTTTCCCAGCAACGGCTGCTCCAACAGCGATAACTTGAATAGACAAGGTCATCTCCTCAAAAACACCAATCTGGCTGCTAGAAGCAGTCTGGTAAAAGTCCGCCGCACAGTGTTGTAAGAATGGCCCTGAGAAGCCCCATGGGGAGTGCTCATCTAACCCACCCATCCATCCATCCATCCTTCTAGATCGTTCCAGATAATTAAATCATGCAAGAACACAAGAGGTGGACTTGTTTTTTTGGACGAGTATTAGTAGCTCATATATACTTCATTTGGGTAATCAAATTTAGTCATACCTTCTTGGATTCAGTGTTCTTCCTTGGATCTCCATCTTCTTTACTCGATCCTGAAGCGGACTGAAGAACATTCTTGAGACATGCAGTAATGCTTGCGGCCGATTCTTCAAGTTCATCAGAAAATGGCTCCTCTATGTCACCAAGAGCAGATTTGAGTAATTCTGTCGTAGTATCGGTTAGTCTCATGATGTCATTCTAGGTAGAATTATTTGATAAAGAGAAAAATACACAATTATTTACTATTGAAGAGAAGAAGAAAAAAGTTTTAATAATTCTGAGAAGACACGGAAAGGGAAGAGGTCTTTCTATTTCTTACCGCAGAATTTACCCATTCATCACAAGATTGGGCGTCTTGGCTACCACCTGCCAGTTTTACTACGTTCATAACAGTTCGAGACATCTGAAGATCCTCTGGTTTTATGGAAGTGAACTTTTCCACTAACGTACTCGAAATCTGAAGTTTGAAAAATATCAAAAGTTGTCAGGGGCCCAAAAAAGGAATGTAGGGTGGAGAAATTTTTCAAAAGGGTACTCCAGACTAATCTCCAGAAGTAAACAGCGGATATGTATGGGATGATATCATGTGTATAATAGTAAATAAGAGCTAACCATGAAGCAGACAAATAGAGAAACGAATAAGAAGAGTTTCATCTGTATCATGTACGCTTACTTCTGTTCTGGTATCCTCGCTCAGCGTTTGCCCACATTCTGTTTCTTCAATTGCTGATTTTAGGACAGTTAAAGCAAGTTGGGAGGCCTGACTGATTTCACCCTTCTTCAGGTATTTATCCAATTCGCTGTCATGCCCAATGACAAAACTTTTCAACGTTTTGGCAACTTCTTCAACCGGCGAGCGGCAAGGATCGAGTTGATACGATGGCATCACCTTATGGAAATCAGGACAAGTATTAACAGCTTATAACGTAGGCTTGTGTGGCGAAAAAACCTTTTTCTTTTATTTAGATATATTGCGTTGATATATTATATTATTGATATATATTTTGTAATTATAATATTATTGTATTTACATTCTCAATTAATTTATATATTTGTATTTTTTTTATTTTTATTATTTTTTTTTTATTCTATTGAGCTGAAAAGCCCACTTAGGGAGCATCAATAAAGTGTATGTATGTATGTATGTATTGCGCTTCTAGACTTCTTCGGAGATCTGTTCTTGCTCACCTTCACTTGTTCTTAAAACATCATGATCTTGACGAAAAGTCGGCGAAATATCAATTTGTGACTCAATTTACATCGACTACCATTATCCCTCTTTCCTTGCTAAACGGTACTAATAGTTCGAGGCCATTACACCTCTCTGATCATTACCAGTTTATAGAAGGACATCGTTCCTCTAAGAATTTTTGGCCTTTTGCGCTTGTCAAGGCTGGCCCTTTCCAATTGTGAACTTGTGTCTCAAATAATGAATAACCTAACTAGACAGAGCACCTTCCTTCGAGGGTCGACGAAATTGCAGTCTTACCTTCACAGAAAGCTTTTCCCAAACAGCCACACCAACAGAATTCTTTATAATGACCTTGATGGACAAAAGGTAGTTGTTTTCCGGTAATCCAGAATACAAGACTGTCGATACAGATCTGGAAGAAGTGCCATAGGATATTGGCTCGTCTCCAAGGCGAAATTCGTAGGTTAATGGTGTACTTTTATCTTTCCATTCAAAGCATTCAAATGAAAATGTTGTTTCCAAAGAGAAACCTATAGTGACTGATGGTTTGCAGTAGCCACCGTGGGGCTGTCCAGCTGTCTCAAATTCGAGCACCGCAAATCCTACCATTCCCAAGGAGGGTATTACAGTTAGCTTCAGAGCGTATTTTGAGCTTGGTTGCAAAGAATTCTTTTTGATAATCATGTTGGTTGCATTTATTGCAGTCGATCTCATATTGGGTAGAATAGGTATGAGCTCCAGTTGTTTTGAATCAGCATCCACCTTCATTAATTGCCATATGTACTCTGAACCAATACAAAGGGAATTGAGACACTGTGATGTCACTCGGAACTTATTCGAAGCAGACACTATTTTACCACAATCTACGAAACACCTGCAGAAAAAGAAGGGGATTAAATACATTGAATACACTCAAAATACATAGTTAGGCCAAAATCGATCATATACGCTTGAACTAAAAAGGAAAATATTGTGTCTAAATAACGACTGCAAGAGTAGAAATAGAGAAGAAATGATTGTTTGAAAGTACCTTAAGCTAACTTGAGGTATTTCACCATTTGCTATCTGAACGTTTATTTCGGCAAAATGACTTCTATCATCCTTAGACACAGTTAGCCTTAGAACGAAAGGGCTCCATTTTAGAAGTTCACGAGTATTAATGCTTATCGAAGCTAGAGTAACGTCTCCCTCAAAAGCGCCAAAACAATTTTTATCGAGGGAAGTATTATCTGAAAGAGGATAACAGGACCAGGTAAATTTAAGCCCACTGTGGTTTCCAGGACCACTGTCTCCATCATAGCTAAGGGAACCGTCCACCGTGACAATGTCTACAGAACCCCAAAGGACACCGCTTCCTCCATCGATAATGGCTCGTACAGGAGCCGCAATAACTTTGATAAAGCCGTAGTCAAAAGCATGGAGAGTTTCTGAGGATGCTGAGGCACCGACTTTAATAGACGCAGTGAATTTGACTTGATAGATTCCAGCAGGCACAGATCTCCTATTTATTGACCACTGTGTAGTTCCTTGACTGACTAATGTTCCCACTGGTGACTCAGATGCTGCTAGCTCCTGTTCACTAATTAAACGCCATTCCATGACACTTTCCAATACAGGTTTGTCAGGAAGATCTTCGATGATTGCCAGCTGGATACTTTTTTCGGACCGTTTGACACTAGTTGGCAAATATTGGTCCTTGGATATGTTTCTAATCGTGATTGAGAAATCTCCTGTAAAAACAAGATTTAATGGTAGGGTTAAACGCGTTCTTATAAATCATTCACGTAAAACACGAGATCAAAAATATTGCATGAACTTATGCCTAATAATTTGAGAGGCACTTCCAGAAAGTTACGCACGATTGAAACTTGTAATGGTCAACTAAAAGAATGCCCCACTTACCTATGGGCTCACATAATATCCCGTCTCCGTGGTAATCAGTCCTACACTCGCAGTTGAAAGACCCCTCATTATTGTAACAGTGAGCTACACCATGACAGTTATGAGTTGCTGTGGCACATTCATCAATATCTGTGGGAATGCATTTTTTTCAGCTATAGCCAATATTAGAAGAGGATAATCTATAGGTATTCTTTGTTACCTTATATGCAGGACAACATGCGTTAGAAGTAAATTATGTTCAGTTTTGTTTCGTTCGTTTTTTAATTCGTTTTTATTCATTTATTTATCTATTTTGCTTCCTTTGATTCGGTTGGCTAACCTAATCATCGTTTCGGTTATAATATACCATTCATGAGGATCACTGCCGACTGGAAAGCTGCAAAAACAGAACTTTTTGATATCCAGTCGTCTTGATCGAACAGGTTTGATAAATGCATAGAGGGCTTGAAATGAAAATAATTTTTTTCATACCAGTACATGTAACACCATCCCCTGAATATCCTCGAAGGCAGGTACAGTTGAAAGAGCCGTAGGTGTTGGAACAATCCGCTTTCGAATGACAGTTATGAGTTCCGGTTGTACATTCATCGATGTCTGTAGCAAGTAAACATTGCGTTATCATATGGCACGTAATAAAGCATTCTAAAAACGAACACAAAGCTTATCGCTTTGACATTTTTTTAATTAAGCATGAATTGTTGAAACCTAGTCTAGAATTTATAGCGAAGATTGATTAAAGAAAGTGTGTTTGTTTGTCTATTCGTTTGGTTCTTTGCTTTCCGTTCGGTGTCTTGTAGTTAGAATTATATTATCTCGGGAAACAACTAAACTTGTATTTGCTAACTGCAATGAACACCGCAGTTTAGGACGCTAGGCGCTTGGCCAGACTTCAACAACGATAATGTTGTATTCCATTGTGTTGATAAAGAAATAATAATGATTACAATAATAATAATGATGGTAGTAAAAACAATAACAATAGTCATCATCCTCATCATCAAAATGGTTCCAGTAGTCATGATATTGATATAAATAACAATAACAATAGTAATAATTATTAAAGTAATGATAATAATGATAATAAGAAGAAACAAGAGGAGAAGGCAAGAAAAGACAATAAAATCCGAGGATATCACACCTGTGCAATGCCGACCGTCCCCTGTGAATCCTGCATTGCAGCTACAAGTAAAAGCGCCATCGGTGTTGGAACATTCTGCATCTTTGTGGCAGTCATCAATACTGCTGCTGCACTCATCGATATCTGAATTAATAATCAGAAATACTCCAATGACGATGATGTTTCCAAGATTTTCATAAAAAATAAAAAAAAAATGATGTTGGTGCATGGTTTTCAAAAGTCAAGGATAGCGTTTGGACAATATTTCTATCGAAGTGGGTTATTCTCTCGGTAACAAATTTAACGGAACTAAAATCATGTGCCAAATGAATTTATAATTCATGTTTAGGTCCATGAAACGATCAAACTTTCATTTTAAGAATTAATTGGCCATATTTGATTATTTTTTGCAGGTTACTGCCCTCCGTGAAGTATCACTTTTCAGATATATATCCATACATGGGACAATAATCTTATTTCTGTAATGTAAGCCACGATTGATTAAACACAATAATGTATCCAATACCACTATAAGTACAACAATTGAGCTGTTACTGGCAGAGTGCTATATCCAGTATTCCCTTGAATACGTACGAAAGCCGCCAACAACCAAAAGACAACCAGCAACATGAGATGTGTAGCCAACTTGTGCATCTCTATCAATTTAAAAGGGAGAGTTCCCCCACCACCCCCTTCCCTGGGAAAACAACACAAAATGATTTGTGAAGTTGTCAATACGCTGCTTTTCAGGCAAAACCACTTCATTATATTATCTCATAAATAAACACAGTATTGAAAAGAAAGAGCAATTTACATATTAAAGCTATTATACCGGCACATGTAACACCATTCCCAGAATATCCTGAAATGCAAGCACAGCCAAAAGAGCCTCGATTGTTGGAGCAATTTGCTTTAGCGTGGCAGTTGTGTGACGCATCTGAGCATTCATTAACATCTGCAAACAGAGAGACCTGATTAGCTCATGCATACATGACATAACATTTATAAGACTCCTCATAAGCGAAGTCATAATAGGAATAAAATTGATGGCAAAACAAGCCCAGAACGGCAGAAATCGCCAAAACTCACAACGGACACGTAAGGAGTGAATAAGGTTTTTCAATCTTACTAGTAAAATGTTAATATTTCCGAATAATTAGTTATGTAAATTGACTATATCTCGTTTCCCATTATATTCCTTTTAAACGCATTCAAATTTTCAACGGTTCCTGGCGTAACTCAACATCGCGTCACACTACGCGTGACACTTTCATGAAATAATATTTCGCTTTCTAAGTGATGTGAGCTTGGGACGCCTGCGATAAACCCCTTTAAAAACTGGTAATCTTGCGCTCTCTGGGCAACAGCCCTAAAGTTTGGGAGCTTTTATAGCTGAGATTTATTATCATTTTCTCTTTCTTACTAAAGAAAGAGCAGCAAAAATATATCCAGAGGAATGTCTTACCAGTGCAATGACGCCCATCCCCTGCAAATCCTTGTTTACAGCTACAAGTAAAGGAACCGGCTGTGTTTCCACAATCTGCATCTTTGTGACAGTCATGAGCATCATCATCATCATCATCATCTTCGTCATCATCATCTGCATCATCATCATCTTCATCATCATCATCTTTATCATCATCATCATCATCATCGTCGTCGTCGTCATCATCATCATGACCACCATCGTTATCTTCATTATCATCATCGCATTCGTCGATATCTGAGACAATGGTTAAAAGAGTTTCGTAAATTGATACCTGTAATGCTTCACTTTCAGCAATTTCTATTTCAATAATATATATGATAACTTTAAAAGTACACGTTTCTAACAATACTTTATGAGGAGAAATAAAGAGAATACAATCATACTGTGCACGAGTAAGAACACGTGATAATGCTGTTCCTCAGAAAGCCAATAAATAGGCATCACTTTTTTAAAGACTTTCACTTTTTTTCTTGTCTGATCAAAATGGGTCGGTTATTTAAACGAGGTCAAAATTGAAACACGCTTTTTGACGATTAATGTACTTTAAAAATTCCTCTCAAGTTTTTTAAGTAATCAGATTCTCTCAAGTGGGGTTATAATTATTATGTGGCAGTATATCAATCCGGATGTCCAAAGAACACTATAGCTGGAGCCGGGCGATAACCGTGACTAGCCACAGCGTCGACTAGGATCCATATATAACACAGGCTAAAACCTTTTTGGAATGCCAAAAAAGAATCTGGAATGAAATAACTAGTACAAAATTAGCCAATCAGCTAACTTTTAACTTGTTGAGTATGCTTCTCCTACTCAAAAAGTAAAAACTGTCCAATCATCAATCCGTAATGTGACAGCTCATCAAAAAGAAACTTATTCAGTACACAGATATACTGAATGAGTTAGAAATTGTACTGAACAACAACAAACATATGAAACATATGAGTGAACTGCGGTTATGAGACGTATAGAACGATCCTTCGCAGTAAGGCACTATTTGAGCAATAGTGGAAATCAGACCTGAAAAAAATTTCAGGCCTGTACGTCAGTGGTTCGAGTCCCGTACAGGCCTGAAATTTTTCTTTCAGGTCTGATTTCCACTATTGCTCAAATAGTGCTTTACTGCGAAGGATCGTTCTTNGTCGGCAACGCGACGAAAGATGTCGAGTAAAAATGGACTCATTTCAGTATTTAGGGCCTACCGCACTAGCAGGCAAACCTAGAATTGTCCCGACAAAATCAAAGGTCAAACTTTTGTCTTGACAAACTGTTATCTCCTCTGTTGCACCCGCACTAAAAATATCGAAGCTGCTAAAATTCGGTCAATAGCCAAAGTTAACACCGATACAATACTTCACTGTAATTTTATTCAATTTAGCTTTTCCTTTCCCCTTGCTTTGAGCGGGCACTGGATCCTGTGCCACATCTACTACCATATTGTTGGACTGATAAAGTGGAAAATTGCATCACCGCTGTATATTGCCTCAGCTGCATCCAGCGCCTAGCCAGCTCAAAATCTCCCTATGGATTCAAACACTAATTAACAGGATTCATCTTGAGTCATTTGCGGAAGTTGCACAATCCGCGAGTTTCGCAACGAAAGACAATTACTACAATCTTTTACGGTAAACTAAGCTCAGTTCATTTACCGCACTGGTGATGATCGACAAGTTTATAACGGTTTGGATTGTTTAGTCGATTTTATCAAGGTTTTACCCAGGACAAATTTTGTCGGCGGTGCGTTTGAAAATTTTTCCGCTTCGGCTAAAATTTGTCAAGTCGCGACAAACCATCCGTGCTTGTGAAGAGTTGGTGATAACAGAAACTGTGTGTAAGACCCTGTTCGCACTAGACCGAAAAAAATTGGTTGTGTATTTGCAAAAAATTTGAAAATTTTGAAAGGACGAATTATTTGTTTTAGTAAAAGCGCTCGCTCCTGAGACGTGCGAATTATTTGTGTAACCACAAATGTCAATCAATCGAAATAGATATGGAGATTTAGTGACAATGCGTTTTCTCTCATGTCGTTTCTGGTCAAGGACGTACTGATCTAAAAGTAAAATGCCCCTGCGAAATGTTTTAATCGCCCTTTTTTGCTGTTTCTTGCCATGCAAAACCTGTGGCTGGTCAACAATAACTTCTGGTTTTGTTGGGAAAATGAAAATGGTTTCGCGTTGAGATGTTTCTTGCAATAAAAACAAAATTTCACGTATTGCGAACAGGCCTTCAATAAACAATTTTCTCGCTGGGCGATAGGCCCTTCGTTAGAATTTCGCGCATGGCTGGATTTGTTTACTGTTTCTTGCTGCGCTTCACTTCAAATTCAGCACAACTTAGCTAATTAAAACTTAGCTAATTTCTGCGTTGGACTTTTTATCCACAGACCACGCAAATCAAAAGTTGTTTGCAAGGGAGGACAGCTGCGAAATGTACAAAGTTTTTCAAAGGCACTCGCTAAGCTATTTCCTGCCCATTACATCTTTTGTTTTGCCACGTCTTCGTCACCGTTATCGTCGTGATTAGGGCCTGTTTGCACTACACGAAATTTTTGTTTTGCAAAAAAATTTGTCCACGCAAAACCATTTTCAGTGCGAACAGTTTTTTTGACCCACCAAAATGTTTGCAAGAGCCACCAAACTTCAAAGATGCCATCAACTACTTTTGGGTGCCTACAATTTTTTGTCGGGCGAGAAAATCTATTTTCCCCTGACAGATACCCTCCAACTGGTCATCATATCTCGTAATTGAACGTCGCGTTAGTGAGTTGTCGAATGACTCTCTACCTATTAT